CTTGAACTCGCTATGTAGTCCAGGTAGGCCTCAAGCTCATGGCAATCCTCCTGCCTTAGCCTCCTGAGTGCTAGGATTGTAAGTGTGCACCACCATACCTGGCTGAGAAATTTTTTGATCATATGTAAGTGAAAGGTTTTTTTTGGTCTCTTTTGAGGCAGAATCTCAGTATGCAGTTCAGGCTGGCCTTGAGCTCACTTTGTAGCCCAGGCTGGCCTCGAACTCGCAGTGATCCTCCTGCCTCAGCCTCCCGAAGATTTTTTTTTGAGACAAGGTCTTAAGACATGCAGTTCAGGTTGACGCTGAATTCACTATGTAGCCCAGGCTGGCTTCAAACTCACGGCAATCCCTCTGCCTCAACTTCCCATGTGCTGGGATTACAGGTGTACAGCACTATGCCCAGCTGAAAGCAAAAGATTTCTGCCAATAAAAAACACTTCGGACACAGTTAATAGAGATGGCAAAGTGGGAGAAGATTTCTACAATTCTCAGGATACACAAGGGACATTCGGATGACACAAGAAATTGTTTCAAGTCAACAAAAAAAAGTATCAGTACTAAGAAAATATGAACAGGTAATTTACAAAAGATGGAATCAAAAAAGCCCACGAAGAGATGCTTAATCATTACAGAAAAATGCAAATTAAGACAACAGTGAGATATCACTGCCGCTCCCCAGTGTATTGGCAACTACTAGAAAGTTGGATAATGCCACGAGAATGGCTGCCTACAGGAGGGGATAAGGAGAATGAGTAGGTAATATGAGGTTAAAAGACAATCAAGGGGTGGGGGATTTAGCTCAGCGGCACAGCGCCTGCCTGCCAAGCGCAAGGTCGTGAGTTCGATTCCTGGTACTGGGAAAAAAAAAACGAACACGAAAAAAAATAAAAAACAAAAGACAATCAATTGGTGCCAAGGGTGGTGTTGCACACCTGTAATCCTAGCACTTGGGAGGCGGAGGCAGGAGGATCGCGCTGAGTTGAGGTCAGCCCGGGCTAGTGAGTTCAAAGTCAGCCTGAATGACATGGTGAACTTCTGCCTCAAAAAACAAAAACAAAAGAAGAGACAAAAGAAAAAAGGGCAATCAACTGAGTAGACAATTTTTTTAAAAAAGATCCTGGAAATAGAACCCACAGCCTTCACAGTGAACTACATCCCTGGCCCTTATTTTTTATTTTGAGATAGGGTCTCTCTATATTGCTAATAGGTTGGGTTCAAACTTGCAGTCCCCCTGCCTCAGTTTCCTAGAGTTCTGGGATTACAGGCGTGGTCCACTATGCCGGGGTACTGCTTGTGTTTAATATCTACTCTCACCCTACATCTAAAGGAAGTAAGGAAAGGTTGCCATCTTTCCGATTTTTTCCCTTGTATCTCTAGCAGCTAAAACAGTGCCTGGAACCTAAGTACCTGGCAGACCTTCAAGAAATACTTGATGCAAGAACGCAGAAATGTGAGGAGGGCGTGAAGGCGGGGATGGGGACCGTGCAGCGTCCCTCCCTCCTCCTTTGCGCGGCCGCAGGCACCGGGGTCCACTCACTCGAACGAAGTCACGAAGCAGGTCTGGGAAGGAGCCCCGGGCACCAGGGTTATGTTCTTCTCCACCGCCCAGCCATTGCCGCCGTGTTCCACCTCCCAGCCTCTGAAACCCTCTGAGGATACAACAGGGTTTGAACGTGAGGGTTTCGCCCAGCAGAGAGCCCGCCACCGCCCAGCATGTCCCGCCCACTCGTTCCTCCTCGCTCTCCCCCTCCCGCTGGACGCTTCTACCCCGACCCCATCTGTGCCCATTCTGTATCCCAGCGACAGTCAGCCCGCCTATCCGTTCGACTTTCTCCTCCCTGGGTCAATCTCCTTCTTGCTTCTCAAACTCCTGGCACAGCCCGGGGATTCACCCCTGCTTTGTCCCGCCCCCTCACTCAGACTACCTCCCTCTTCTTGAGGCTTTAGTCAAGTGTACAAACTCCGCCCCCATCAGCATCCAATTAGCTTTACCCCAGGCAGCCTCACGCGCCTCCTGAGCCACGCCTCCTAGCGCGCCGTCCATTCATGTCTGCATGTCAACCCCGCCCCCTAGCTCCTTTAGTTGTCTCCCATTGGCTACACCGCTCAAACCGGCCCTGGCCACGCCCACTCATTCATGCTTCCCGACGCGTTTTCCCTGGGTTCCTGCAGTACGCTGGGACCCTCTCGCTTTAGGCCCAGTCCCCCGGCACGTACGCTCTCCGCAGGAGTTGAAGATGAGGTTACGGCCGAGGGGCGCGCGTAGGCAGAAGCGCGCCAGGGCGCAGAGCGGGAGCTCCTCCTCGTCCTCGCTGTTGGGCGGGCAGCGCTGGGCCAAGGCGTAGAGTGCGCGGCCCTCGGCGCTGCGGTCGCGGGCCAGCTGCAGCAGCCATACGGTGGGCCCGTCCACCACGTCCCGCCAGGCGCGGCACACTGGGCGGCAGCGGGTCACTAACGCGCGCGGCGGTACGTGGCTCAGCACCCGCACGAGCAGCTCGGGGGGCAGTGCGTCCAGGGCCACCGGCGGGCCCGCGGGCTGCCGCCGCCGCGAGGGCCGGGCGCCCATCGCGGCTCGCCGGGGGCGAGAGGGGTCGGTGGTCAGCGTCTTCCCAGGGTCATCATCAGCTCCACGGCTGCACAAGCCAGACTGAGTTCCCGCTGCAACGATCCAGACAGGTCCTCTGTTTTTCCTCTTGGGACAGAACACCCTGCCTGGAGCTGGGCGTGGTGGCGCACGGCTGTGATCCCAGCACTTTGGGAAGCTGAGGGAGGAAAACCCAAAGTTCAAGCTTAGCTGAGACCGTCCCCCCAAAACTAAAAGACCCCTGTGTGATCTGATCCCATCAGGAGCGCTAAGCACAGCCGCCTCGAGGCGCACACGTGTGTCGGGCAACACTTCACGCGAGGGAAGCACACTGACGCTCCATCCCCCAGTGTGTTCCAGCTCCTTGGGCCTTTGCCATTCCAGACCTATCTCTAGGAAAATCTTTTCCCTCAACTTGTCATCTTGCTCTACCCAGAATCGGGCTCTCTTTATGCTCTTTCCAAAAGAGGAGGTGTCCCTGCCCCTGGGGGCTGCTTCCGGCCCAGCCTCCGTCCCCCCTCCCAGCTGCCTAGCTGCAGAGCTCCCGTCATCAGAGGTCAGTCACTGACCACCTCATGGGTCATCTGCTGACCCAGGTGTGCTCCTCTCTCCTCAATCTCTGTTGTTTTTTTTGGTACTGGGAATCGAACTCAGGACCTTGTGCTTGCCAGGCAGGCGCTGTGCCGCTGAGCTATCTCCCAAGCCCTCCTCCTTAATCTCTGATTCACTCCTCTCAGGGTGCTCCTGTCACCACACTGGTGATTTCCATATCCAGGCAGATGACCCCCTGACCTTTCAGTGACCTTGTTGTGTCCCCACCAGCACAGTACACCTTGATTCAGTAATGACACCAGCCTCTTCAGAACAGCAGCCTTCCAGAGATTGGGATCTTCCCTCCTACTGCCCCCAGTTGAAATTCTACAGTTAAACCTTAAAACCTTCATTTGCATACACACCCTTCCCCTCCACCTCCTCCCATAAACGTGCTGGTTAAATCTAACCCTGCACCCCCTGTGGCTGTACCCACACAGCTTGAGGGCTGGAGATCAGCACAACCCCGGGGCCTCCCACTCAGTTTGTGAAGTGACCTCTAGCTGTTCCTAACGCGGCCTGGCAATCAGATTACCTTTCCCTGACCACCACCTCTCTTTTAGACAACTGTTTCACACCTCCTTCTTCCCTCTCTTTCCTACCCTTCTCCCCTCTCACCTCTTCTCTTTCCCCTGCTTCTTTTCCTTTTCTTTTTGCCCTGGGAATTGAACTCAGGCCTTTGCACTAACCTACATCTCAGCTCTCCCTTCTAATTTTGATTTGTTTTTGTTTTTTGTTTTTCTTCCGGTACCAGGAATTGAAGTCACTACGTTGTGCTTGCCAGGTAGGCGCTGTACCGCTGAGCTAAATCCCCAGCCCCAACCCCTTCTAATTTTGAGACAGGGTCTTGCTAAGTCTCTAAATTGCCCAGAATAGCTTTCAATTTGCAACCCTCTTTGCCTTAGCCTTCTAGAGTGCTGGCATTGTAGGTGTGCATCACCATGCCTGACTTCCTTACCTTACCTTTTTTCTCTTAAACTCTTACCAACTTCTAACACATAACTTCGAACTTCTAAGAGATAACTACATGTAACTTATTCATCTTTATTGCCTGTCTCCCAAATACACAGCAATCACTGTAAGTGCAGAAATTGTTTCTTTTGCACCCTCCAAACTCCAGTGCCTATGACAGTGCCTGATACATCATAAACATTCAGTAAAGAGATGTTAAATAAACAAATGACTGAAGCATCATGGGAGAAACCCAGTGTGGCAGCTGGGGTGTGGCTCTGTGGTAGAGCACTTGGCTGGCACCTATGAGGCTCTGGGTTCCATCCCCAGCACTGCAAAAACAAAACAAGAGGCCCATTTCACAGATGGGAAAACTAATGTCACACTGATGTGTAACGAGGTGAGACAGACACCTTTTATTGAACAGAAGCTCAGGGGCCAGCCTAAAGCCTGGAGAGATGCTCATGTCACCACCGTGTCCTCAGAGGCGCCAGAGCAGCCTAGGCAGGAAAGCACAGCACCAGGCCCACCTTTCCTATCTGCAGCCACTGCCTGAGATGCTTCCGCTGCAGGAGCAAGTCACGTAGTCTCTTTGCGATTCCGTTCCCCTTCTGAAAATGGCCATGTTAAGGCACCTGCTTCCTAAGGCTGTCTCGAGGATGATGTGAGTTCATATTTGTAAGACACTTAGGAGAAGCGCTCAGGGCTCAAAACAAAGAGTGCTAATTATCTAATACCAAGCATCAAATTATGTCAGCTGCTGTTACTGCTATTATACATTGAAAAAAGTGACGTGCAACTATGTAGCTGAGATATTTTCCTGTGGTGATATTTACTGGCCCTCAGGGGGCTGCCGTGCTGTGCGTCTAAGCTGGCTCAGCTTGCCAACCCTGTGATCTGGTTTAATAGGTGGTTTAGTCCTTCCAGGTTGCCCTGGGTTAAGGGGCTCCCAGGTGCTAATGCTTGGTACACGGCCACCTGGGAGTGCGCCCTTCTCCATGGCTGCGATTATCCTCAAGGGGACTGATCAAGGTTTTGTTTAAAAAAATTCAGAAGAAAGAAGGAAAGATGTTGCTCTCAAGTCAGTGGCCTGCAGAGATGGCAAAAATCCTGACCCCACCTTCACTACTGCCACAGAAAGACAGAGGCCGGGAAGACCTACTGCTCTCAGATGGGACTGCTTTTCTCCGGGTGGCTATTTGCAGCACTAAAAATTAGCTCCGACTCATAAGCAAGTCCACTAGTTTGCCTGGCAGGGATGTGAGGGCCACCAGAGTTTAGTCCCTTAGTCTGTTCTTCTCAGGAGTGTGCTGGCCACTGGTGATCAAGGGACTTCTGGGGCTAGGGTGGCCCTTGAGGGCAGCTAGACTTCACCAAGCAGCGAGATGCATAGCTCAGGCCAGGTGCAGGGGCACATGCCTGTCATCCTAGCACTTCGGAGGCTGAGGCAGGAGGACTGCCAAGAGTTCAAGGCCAGCCTGAGCCACATAGTGAGTTCAAGGCCAGCGTGAATGACATAAAGAGAGACTGTCTCAAAAAAACCTAAATAAATAAAAGGACAGATCAGTGTATCTCATAATCCCTCAGTGGCACTGTACAAACTATATAAATTGACTGTTGGGGACGCTATCAGCTATCTAATGCCCACCCTGTCCCCATAGCTGAATGGTTTTTTTTTTTTTCCCCATAGCTGAATGTTAATTACTGGCTAGCTCAAACCAGGGCAAATAAGGCCCGGCACTGCCTTCCCGGGCATTTGGGAGTACATCCGGGGGAGGTTACTATCGGTGGTCACAACTTGGGTGTCACGGCGCATGCCTGTACTCTCAGGCTGAGGTGAGAGGATTGTGAGTTTGAGACCAGTGTAGGGCCATTTAGCAACCTAGCGAGACCCTGTCTCAAAATTCAATGAAAATATTTAGAGAATCTGGGAATTTAGAGAGACTGGGAATCTAGAGCCCTGGATTCAATCCTCAGTGCCACAAAATAAAATAAAAGCGTAAAATATCGTTGTCACAGTAACCGGAGATACTCCTGACACGCAGTTTCCAGGGACTGGGGTCCCACGGGTTCCAGAGCGGGCCACGTGCCGCTTCCTGACCGTTCTTCCACGATTTTACTGTTTGCTAAACTGTGAGGCCCACACCCGTCTCTGGCACGGGCCGGTCTCTGTGACAGGCTTAACTCCCAGAGCACTGCAGAAGGGACAGTGCTCGGGGACTTCCGAGGTGGCGTCCTAAGGGGGACCCGAGCCCGCGCAGCGCGAGTGTGTGCTTACTGCCAAATGCTAAGTGGTCAGCAGCTGGCTGGGGCGGGGGTGGGGGTTTGGGTTTCTAGCATTTTCTGGGGTGTAAATTACACCCAAGGCTGGTTACAAGCTGCCCGTGAGAAGTCCCTCAACCGCAGGGGTGGAGTGAACGGGCAAGCAATGTGACCGTCAAATGGCTGCGCCAGTCACTGTGTGCGTCCGGCTGCCCGGAAGCCATGGTGCGGAGAGAGCACAAGCACACAGGCGGAGCTGCCCAAGCAGCGCCGGCTGTTCCCGCCTCCCCATCCCAAGCGCTAGACGGGGGAGAGAAGCAGGGGTCGGCCCAGCCCCCGCCACTGTCTGACGGAACTGAACCAGGCCCCTGCGTGTGGACACTGAGCTGGGCCCATCAGGCCCCAGAACCAGACGCGATAATAATCAGGTAGTGGTTACTCTTTAGGTCACTGTTTTCAGTGGGCTGTCAGGCAACACTAGCTCCCTGCAGCAGTGCTGGGTGACTGGCATCGTGTGGCATGGTGCCCACAAGGGAGCCCCCACTCAGAAACAGTGGGCACCAGCACTCTGGGAGGCTGATGCAGGAGGATTCCAAGTTTGTCCCAAGCCGGGACAACTTAGTGAGACCTGGTCTCAAAAATAACTTTAAAAAGGGCTGAGGATGTAATGTAACTCAGGTCAGAGGCCCTGGATTCAATCCCCAGTACCTCCAAATACAAACCAACATGCAAAAAAAAAAAAA